CCCTGAGTTGTTCCAATAACAGAGATAGTAATATGTAGTTATATAGTAATTTTCAAAATTTACGTAATTTAGGGTTAAATTGTGCTATTTTGACTATTATTGCATTTTCTGCTGGTGAAGTGAAATATACATGGTCATAATAATTCCATGTTGCTAGAAAACACTGTAAAAAAACTTTCCGTAGAATTACTTTCAAATTATAGCATTACGAAACTATATATCGGATTTCAGCTGATACGAATAACAGTTTATACGCATGTGGTACTAGATGATGATTATATTTCCATCCAGGGAAAATGTTGGGGGGTCGCCCCCAAAAAATCAAGCTAAAACTCTTTGTATCAGCAAGATCCGCCCCTCAAAATGCAGGAAATATCGTTTCAGGGGGTCTAGATTTCCAAATGTTCCCGGGGAGCATACCCGGACCACCCTAGTACGGTTTACTATTCATGTACCCTTAAGACAAAAGAACCTAGGAATATATAAATACACTGAATGAGTTAGTCATTAATATGCCAAATTAAATCTCTAAAATAATAAATTAAATATATTTATATCGCATGTCACATAATAACAAACCGACACAATAACGCCTTCAAATTAATTTAATTGAATACAATTAGCAGATAGTTTTTTTTTCAGAACTGGAAGTAGAACTTTCTCCTAACTATTTAAAAATATTAAGATTTGCAGTACAACTTCATCGTCCTATGTACAGCGTTAAAGATCATTATGTTTGGAATTCGAACCTACCGCACAAACTATAAAACGTTTAAATAAAAAAAAAAATCTTTTATAGTGTTTTATGTACTGGTTGATTTTAATTACATGTAAAGGTGTTAAAGATGACAGTAGAAAGGATACTTCTCAAGACGTAACATAATAAAATAAAATGAGGTCTTGTTCTCCCACAGTGATAATAATTCTCATGATATCAAGGAATTTCAAATTTATATATAGCCTGCTGTGCTGGCTGTAACGTTTTTATTGTTAAAATAAAAACAAAATAATATGTTAAATATATAGTTTTGTTAAATGACTTACTTATTTAGTTGCTCATGAAATTATTCAATTTAGAGAAGAAAAGAAACACTGACTGAAAGAACGATGGGCGGGTTCATAAATGTTGAAATAATTCACACATTATTCGAACAGATTACTTTTTGCAAACAAAATATCGTTCAGTCTCGACCCTACCCTTAAACCTATCAAGACAACGAACAACAATCTTGGTGACCATATTTACATTAACTTACAAAATTTAAATACTAACCCGTGCAAACAAACGAATTTGCATCTCTCCTGTATGACTTTTCATTCACAATGTACCCGATACAGACTATGCACTGTGTTACTTTATATTCTGATATTGTGTTTTTCCACACAGATGATTATTGTGACTCACAGGAACGTGAATATACACAATCATGAACGTTTGATCACACGTTTGTTTTTTCAACCAACCTCCAAAATGATGATTGCTTTGAGGAATACAAATAACCTGAACTGTATTTACCCTCGTCATATTCCATAAATACAAAGTGAGTAAAAGTGAGAAATAAATACGTAATATGTACACATCAAATGTATAGATCTACAACCCCTTTTTTTCCTAAATGATAAAACGTACAGCGATGATTCAGTCGTGCCAGACGACTAGCGCATACTGATCCGATAATTCGCTGCATATATATATATATATGTATATATATTCAAAGTCAGAAAAGAAAGAAAATACTATCTATCAAAATACAAAAAATGTATACCTAACTCTCATATTGCCGATTAAACATAAAAACGTGATCCAAGAATAAATATGAAAGCTCTTGGACGGCTCTAGTATAGATATAAGAAAATAAATTTATTATTGGGGATAAACTACACCCCTTATAGACAATCATCAAATACGTACAGTTAAGACTTATACACAGCCACATATACAGTGTGGTCACAAGTGCACGAATATTATACTTTTCCAATATTACAATATTCTTTTGAATGTCCCAGCCATACATGTATTGTCATTATCATCGTATTATTTATGCATTGTATTCAGTCGATTTGCGCATGGCACATTGTCATAAAAAGCAATGATGTCTCCACAGATGACGTATAAACCTACGACATGTGTTTTCCCGAAGGCATCACTAGACACCAATCTGTGCCTACGTCTAACAAAACGTATTTCATTTCATTGTAAAATCGTGCAACAAACACAGTACGCCTACAAACACTAAATTATTACTTACCCCTGTGGATGAGCATTGTCTGAATAGGTTCGATATATAAGAATTATAGAAAAATAAAATAATTTTAGATATATAATCAATGATACAATTTCTACAATACAACTGTTGCTTTTGTATAATTATTAATATAAATTTATAACTTATTTTTGGCTTTGAATTTCGTCGCTAGATTATGAACCATTCACGAATACTAGAACCTAGACACCCCAATGACAATTCAGTTCAAGAAAAGCAACAAATCTGAAAAAGATGATACATTGTGCTCCGCATTTCATAAGCTCACGCATATTGCTGCACACCCCTATTCTAAGATTGGTTCCCTCCGTTATTCGATACTCGGGGGATGTTGATTTCAACACTTTAATGCAAGTTTAATATTTAATAGTGAAAGAAAGTTATTATTATGAACGTTTGGGCTGTATCTCTCACAACTGTCGTGGTGTGTCTATTCCAATTTGCAAACGAAGAAGCTCAAGTCACACTGGTTTGAAGAAACAAAAGAAAGAAGTACGGGTAAGCTAAAACATTTAATTGGACTTGATCAACTTTCATTCAACTTAGTGTCCTCAATATATATTATAATATCACTTAATTCAACAGTGCGCGCCAATTGACTCACGTCCCCAAGGTAGTATTCAAATACGTTTTCATTCTGTACTAATGAATGGTTTTCAGGGATGTAAATGAACTCTATTACCACAAACCCGCTAGTTGTCGGCAAATATAAATACTATAGGGGATAGTCGAGCACAAAATGTTTAAATCATTTCAATGATGAGGAAAAGACTAGTGTGACCAAGGGAATCCACGTGGAAAGATAAATGACTGTAAAAGCGGTAAAATATTTACGTGGTCGTCAAACTTTATAGATATTTCATTTCCTTTTCTTGTGTGCTCTGCGAGTGAAAATGAACACTTCGCTAAACAATACAGACAAGCGGGCACAGTGAAATGCTTCCATCACTGTAGTCGTTGCGCTTTTTCTGAATGCGTTTGCTTTTGTTCAGATTATACAAAGTACTCTTCGTTATGATTTGTTTCTTCTATGCCAACTGATGCGAAGACATTCTCTTCCTTGCAAAAAGTAACTTATTAACTGAAGGAGAATGTGCCTTGATTACTCAAGCAATGAGCAATAAAAACGCACTTATCGAATGGTCTTTCTCTTTATGAATAATCCTATTGATCTGTTGGTTCTCATGAACTACAGATATGGGTTCTTGTTCAATATGGATTCAGATTTTTGTGAATCAATTTTGCTACGAAATTGTCAAACATTGACAATTTATTTCCAGAAATGTGACCTAAAATCATTGCTGTAATATCCATTATCAGATATATCCAATTTGTGGCTATGCAGTGATCGATAAACCCACAGCCAACGATTTGACTGAAACTTTATTGGAGTCGCTTAAATCGACTAGACATGAATGAAACTGAGTTGCATGTTAGGGTCTAGTATAATTTTCAATTCTGGTCTTTCAAGTAGTCAGACGTGACAATACCTACTATAACTGTTTTAGTAAATATTTTGGTCATTTTGGCCAAGCTTGCTATTTAACTCGAGCAACATTGCTCTCGTAGTTATGCGTGATATGTGTCGATCTGAGAATAGTACACGTTCACTTATAGTGAACATTTCTCATCTCATCCATGTGTTGCTATTGTTTTAATATTATGCGGTATTCAATCCAAACTATATGTTATATACTTTGATGTCTATGTTTTGATACATCAATTGTACAGAAAACTCCACATCCAGAGAAAACACCCTTTTTTCTGTAAGTGATAAATCATTAGGAGTACTGACAATAATAATCCTGAGCTCGCTATGGTTCACCCCAAATAACCAACGCATAAAAATGAAGTGATTGAGCGAAACGACGTCTTGTATATATATACTTTATATGTCAACGTGAACACATTTCCTGGATAATCTAGAAATATGCGTAACTCAAAATATTACACAAACATACACATTCCAAATTACACAGTACTTTTTACAAGTTCTTGATTTTCGCTATTTCGATAGTCTGAGACATGTTCTGATCTAGTAATTTGGCTATTCAAATCGCGCGATGAAGTATTCCCCACAACTTAGTGTATTCCACAATACTAGAACGTCTTGGCTGAACACTTCTCACACTCGTCCACTTGCTCGTGGTCAGTTGAAAGATTGTCTTGTTTGTGCATTAAGAGGTGAGCGCCTCATTATCAGTTGCCACGTATGCTCGGAGCATATATATAGCCAAACATCGAACTAATAATATCAAATATAATTTATTGTAAAGATATTTATATTAGCATTAAGAATTAAAACAATAATTATAATTGCTCCCCAAGTGAGATTAACGAGGCGTAACATATGTCAAATAATATCATATTCGTCTGAACCGATAACATATATTATTCAGTTTCCAATGCTGACAGCTTCATTAATTTGCAACAGTGTACACTATATATACACTATACATACTACATATACACTTAAGTTTTAGACAAACTTTTGTTCAAGCTTTCTGTGTTATTCTCAATCAGTATTGCAAAAGCAAGCACAACGGGTGCGATATTGACTAGTTCAATACTGGAATCACACTCAGTTGATCAGTGTATACATTGAAAAATGGTGCCTTTATTATAATACTTGGTGTCAATCGAATGAATGCAACTACCTATGCAAACTATACCTGTCATAGTGTATAGGCTGTGTACAAATAGGTATCTTAAATTATGAGATTCATTTCTGAGGTGTACATTTCCAGACGATTCTTAGACAACAGGTGTCATATTTTGTTTTCATGTAGCTTTTAACAAATAGTCGGCACGTTGATATTCATGTTTAATAATGCTAGGTCAAGGGGTTTGATGTCATTTCAGTTGAATATTTAACGAAGTGCGACTCGATTTTACGAATAATTTACCAATACTTCTGCGTCAGTGTGGCTTCATTTATTATTCAAATGGGGTGTGTTGGTAACGCCAATTCATTAATGAATATGGGAGATATGCTAGAAGTGATAAATATTATATATGGAAATTTGTAGTTCTATATAATTCAATATTCAATATAATCAACACTTTAAGGCCATGTCGCCTTTATCAATGGATTGTCCATTGATAAAGATTACAGTATCTGAAACGTCTAAATATATTCAATAATTTCCAAGAACTACAATTACATATTACAATTAATGTTCTATCAAACCGTTTGTGGTGTTGTTGCTGATATCTTTATAAACACCTCCATTCCTGTTCAGTGTATCCGTCCAACGTCTACAGACGAGTAAAAAATTTGATATTATTATTCATTCTCAAAATGAAGTGATTAATTTCGATCAAATATTGTTTTGATTTGAACAAGCGTTGTTAAAAGAGAACTTGTAAGCCGAGTGTTTGCTCGATTACAATATGCTTATCTGAAGTGAATCAGACACATTCATGACAAATCTTAACTATTTCAAAGGTAATATCTGTACACTTTCAATTTGCGTTTATTTTGCTTGATCAACTTTAATGCTAAGCATTCCTGTCAGTCAGTGTGCAAGTATTATTCAAACTACTATTTCAAACATACCACGTGAGTAAACAAATCGTATGTTACACTGATATAAAAGTATGCAACAACTTATTTGTAGATTTGATTAATGACAATCAAAAGAACATTTCAACATTTGTCTAGTGTATGGCACAAAGTGAAATTGGAACTGTTACTTATGTTGTAAGCATTGTCAGTGTACGTCGATGATAATGCGCCTAACAAAAACTGCTGTGCGGTTTTATATTCGACATCCTATATCCTATATGTATATATTGGAATGAAGAAAATCCTCGTTATATGTGAAGTACGTTTACGAGGTCCACGAAACACATAACGATTGTATAACAAGGTCAACGCTATTTATTCTGTCATTAAATAATGATTATGTCTGGTCGATACATTTTCGAGATGACCTATATTGTTGGGCAAAGTGTCCCACGAGAGTCATTGTCTGATAAGACTTAGATGATTAACTCATCTAAATTGGAAATACATATATAGAATGACTTGTTCGTATGTCTGTGGCATGTAGAGATGTATGAATAATTTGCATTTCTTGAATTAAAGAATATTTCTAGTTATATATAGATAAATGCATACATAAATGCATACTTTAAATACAATTAATTATTATAGTGAGAATAACAACAGTCGGTATACACACTGATAATTATTGTGAAACATTATTTATAGATATAAGAAATAGAACATTAGTGACCAAACAACAAATTACAATATTTAATGAAATCAATGAGAGAACGTGGAGGTATACACTAATCTATTACATTATATAATATATACTATACGAGTAAGTCCGACATTAACAGACAAACTTACATTGATTTTGAATTTTAAATTAATCAATACACTGGCGGCAATATGATAATACTGCATAGAAAAGCTAATACAGTTAAATTATCAGTTCTAACATTTCAGTTATTGTAAAATTCCCAATTAACTGTACACTAACATAAATCTATTAACCATATGTGAAATTTAGTAAATCAAATAATCAAAATAGAGTCTGCAAATCGTAGGTGTTGTGTTATTGTAATGATGAGAAAACAAGCATAAAGACAATACGGTCTAATTGGTTTAAATTAATAAATTATTTCAATGGAACTATACTATTCAAAATGACCACGTGTATGATTGAACATAATCTATTTCTTTTGAACAACAATCGTCATTTCCGATTACAACAGCTTTCTATCAATACTGTACTGTATTTCTTTCACATCAATTTCCAAAATGATGTGCCTCTTGAGGCTAGTAAGGTGCGTTAATATTTATTTTACTTTGCTGAGAAAGCAATAACTTTTGAGTTTCCTGATTTAGTTGGAAACAATTACATGTACTTTTGAAGATAATTGATTTTCTAAAATAAATATAATATTCATAGAATCTTTTCAACAATGGACTCGTACATTTCGGGACACAATTTATTTATGAATTGAAAGTCTTGCAGCATTTCACCTTGGGAAATGAATTTGTTGTATGAGATGACTTCAGTTAGTATATTACCTAGACAAATCTTGGAAGTGTCCAAACTGTCGGACGTTCAGCGATGGATGCACACAAAGACGGGACAGATCTCACAGTAAGTATATCAGTCTTGTACAATTTGTACGTAACTTGTAAATATGAATAAGAAGTTTTTATGTATGATGTACAGTTTAGAAAATTGCAATATTTATTTTAAATCTACAAAGCAATAGTGTGCATTACCAGGATATCATTGCGTATTTGAATGAAATGTATTACCATTAGTACAATCATGTGTAATAAAAGTACCGAAGATTTTGAACTGACAACTATATTATGCTATGTTATATACTTCATCTGTGGCAATAATTAGGATGAAACTCGTATAATATATAACTCTGCATACTCTAATTGTATGGTTTGTTATTATGTTCGATTGACTTGAGACGATCATACCGATTCTACCGAATGCTACAGTTTCTCAGTTTTG